GTGTATAGTCTATGTGTGTTCTAGGTTTCACTTTCTGGTTTTGTAGATCTATGTTGGCCAGGGTGGCTCCCAATCAGAGACGGCTGTCATACTTAGGTAGCCGTTTGGCACTCATTCATTGTGGTTTCTTGTTCTTATTTGGTTTGTGTATTACCATTGACTGTCACGTCATCGTTTTGTTGTTTTGATCGTGTGATCATTATTATAATAAATATGTTCGCCTTCAACGCTGCGCCTTGGTCCTCCTCTCTCACCGACGATCGTGACAATTGGACCATGCAGCCAGGCAATCCCTGTTGGTTCAGAGCACGTGTTCACTACATGACAGGAACGAGCATGTAGATCTCATGCACTAAATGATGGCAGGTTAGAAGGTAAGGATTCTGTGCCTTTTTCTGCTGGGAGAAGACTGTAGATTGTTAATTATGCATGTATTAGCCATACATTGACCCTTCGAGTCCAAAACGGGAGGTTTAAAAAATAACGAGGTAGTTTTCAATCCTCCAGAGTATCTCTTTAGTGAGTGGGAAATAATTTAATGCATGAATCTAAGCTGATGTCCTTGAGATTTGTCCTTAAAGCTTTTCCAAATATGATATATCTCAATTCATAGATTTTGGGGTTTGGCAAGGTCCCTCCCTGCCTTTGTCCTGATTAGCATTACCTAATGCACCTGCAATAAAACTGCACCACCCAGTCATCAAACCCATCAATTCTTCTAACATTTAATCTGCTCAGATAAAGCTACAGATCAGTGTTGATCTATGCTCCAGAGAAAGGGGTAGGAATGTTGCTGAAATCATGAACTCCAGATCCCCAAAAAAGTGTAGACATGCAAAAAGTTGCACACAGAAAACAATAATTAGAGATGTTTTATTATTGTATGTCGTTTTTTCACACAGCATGGTACATTTCTCACTCTTGATGAAGAATCACACAGAGCTCACACATGTTTGTAAACCCACATCACCAGCTATGAATAGGGCTAGGCAGAATTCATGGCCAAGGAGGTGGATGGATGGTGACAGAGGTAGGGGTGAGCAGTGCACTGTGTGGCTTAAAGCAGCACTGATGGCTGGGACATTTTGGCATTGCTGAACTTTCTGAAGTTCTAGAAAACCTCATTATCAAAACAAGGATTAATGTCTCTGCTAATCCAGCGGCTGTTTCATGTTCAACTCAGCCCACCTAGAGTCCTTCGTTCCTCGCTCCAACTGAAGACTACATAGGCACTTCAGAGCAATGCGCTTTACTGTGTTACATGTATCATTTATTTCACTGGCCTCATCCATAAATAACAGGGGTCCATTTTCAAAATGTTGACCATTTTGATACTAATGGACAGAGCCCAAAACTGTTTTAGAAGGTTGGCAGAGAGGCAGGCAACTGCTCAAGTTGAATGTATTAACCAGCTTGCCAACTGAGGATCACGTTCAAGAGGTGGTCTTACACCATATCCACAGAGTGTTCATGCAACAACTCTCAGGAGTGGTGTGATTCAGACAGCTAATCCTATTTCACACGACTGAGAGGGGCTTGGTGGCATCGGCTGAGTAAATGAGCAGTTTGATTCTAATGTGGAACATGATGATCATCATATACCCGACAAAAAATGACCATCAACATGGATATCAAGGTCAAGCTATGGAGGTGCTGTCGTTACTGTTTTATACCTGTGCCAACGCCAGCAACATAAACGGAACACTGCAGAACAACAGGGTTACACTGTTACAAACAGACAGAGATACTGACAGATGCTTGACCATAATCCATACATATAACCACTTCCAAGAGGAATTACATAAGATCCAATATGTGCTGTAATAGGGAAGACCCAGCCATATATGGCACAGCCCACTCTCAATGATTATAACGACAAGAGAAAACAAACCACACAAATGTATATACATTAGCTGTTTAAAGTATACATACCCCCCCCCCCCCCCCCCAAAAAAAAAGCTTTGCAGGAATTTGATGGTACAGTGTTTGTTGTTTCCACATGAAAAGGAAACATGAGTAGTAGTAGATGTAGATGCATTTTGTCTGTGAGGGGCGGCAGATGATTTTAAAATGGACCTGGTGACAGACAGTGATGGGAATGTACAGTATGTATGGGAGAGTGGTGCTGTCTGTCTGTGAGGAGAAGCTGAGGTGAAGGCAAATTAAAGCACAGCAGTAATGCAGTGGAACAGACACTCACCTCATAGCCACAGGCACGAAAATACATCTCAGAGGCTTGACTACAACACTAATGCTACTGAGAGCCTTAGGAGCCAGCGCCGTCTTTCTCTCTCTAAGTCTCTCTGCATCTATGTCGGTCACTCTCCCCATCTTTCCCAAATCCCCCCTACCTCTCCCTTTATCCGTAGATTAATTTTAGTATAAAAACACTATATCGACTCCGCATTGGGTATGGTAATCGAACACAAAATCAGACATATTTGGATATTATTAAAAGCGTTTGGGCTGGGGAGGGAAATATGTGTACAGCTGTACAAACAAAACCAACGTTATAAATTTAGAGTTGGCACGCTCGATCCCTCTTGCTGTTCGCTTGTATGGCTTATGCTCATATTTATTTAGGATGTTTCAGTGTGTAAATCAAGGCTTGCCGCTCTCACATCACCTCTGGTGCTGTCACTCACTTTGATGATCACTAGCATAAGGATCCATTGCCAGGCAGTGAGAAATGACAGTGCCTATTAAAAAATAACAACAGTCATCATGAACGTCACTGTCCAGATTGGAGAGGGTGTTAGGCTGCTCTAACGCCATCTTGCCTGCTTAATTAACACTCAGAATTAAGTCAAAGCTACTCCCCTCACCCTGGTCCCATCCATTCTTAGACACTGGTGGTAAATGATGCAATGATTTATTTATTGACCCTTATTTGACCAGGTAATGGGGATGATTAGATGGCCATGATGGTATGAGATTGGGAATTTAGCCAGGACACCGGGCTTAACACCCCTACTCTTACGATAAGTGCCATGGGATCTTCATTGACCACAGAGAGTCAGAACGTTTTAACGTCCCATCCGAAAGACGGCACCATATGCAGGGCAATGTTCCCTTCACTACCATGGGTCATTGTGATCTCCTTAGACCAGAGGAAAGAGTGCCCCCTACTGGTCCTCCAACACCACTTCCAGCAATATCTGGTCTACCATCCAGGGACCAACCCTGCTTAGCTTCAGAGGCAAGCCAGTAGTGGGATGCAGGGTGGTATGCTGCTGGCGTAGATATCTGTAGCGCCGATATGCCCAGTAAATATTTATCTATTTTAAGCATCATGTATTATCTGTGAGAACATGAGTCATATCTAACATCCCCATCTAGAAGGGAAAGATGTAGATGAATAAACGTCACATTCACAATCCCACAGTAAAGTAGGTCCCCCTTTAACCATCACAAACAACATTATACCTACTTCCCCTCAGGTGGGAGCTAATTTTCCAAGTTCACAAAAACATTAGTGATGCAAGAAAGAAAAAAACATTAACATCAGCAAAAGATTCATCAGGCAGAGAGAGAGTGAAAGAGAGAGAGAGAGAGAGAGAGCGAGAGAGAGAGAGAGAGAGAGAGAGAGAGAGAGAGAGAGAGAGAGAGAGAGAGAGAGAGAGAGAGAGAGAGAGAGAGAGAGAGAGAGAGAGACAGAGAGAGACAGAGAGAGACAGAGAGAGAGATTGAGAGAGAGAAAGAGAGAGGCTCAATGTAATGCTCAATGATCAGAGTTGCCAGAGGCGCTACAGTACCCTTCCCCATCTCCCCACTCTCTCCCTAATCAAACACAGTCAGGAAAAGGATGGCTAAGTGTGATACTGTCTCTCCAAAACTATAACAACACCTAGGGACTGAAAGCATTCGTGAACCTCAGACAGCAGTAAATTGGTTCCTCTCTCCCCTGAGCCCAAACCCAGACGGCCCCAGCACCTGCCCGCTGAGCCCAAACCCAGACGGCCCCAGCACCTGCCCGCTGAGCCCAAACCCAGACGGCCCCAGCACCTGCCCGCTGAGCCATCTGATTTCATGTTTTATTGCTTATGTTGTTTTCCTATGCCATTGTCATTACTAGAATTTTGTCTCATTATTGTGCCTGTGGTGGATTTCTCAGACCTCCTCAACTAAGTGGAGAATAAGTGGTGTATGAACTAGAGAGGGGAAACAATAGGCCAGTGGCATCTAGTCTGAGCTGGTGAAGAGGGAGCAAACAAGGGGAGAAACATAGAGATAGGAGGAAGAACTACAGAACTACAAAACTACAAAACTACAGAACTACAGAACTACAGAACTACCGAACTACATCATCCCTCAATCTATCTTTTCTTTAGTTATTGGCTTATGGCAAAAACAACATAGACAGAGTGGCTTACCCAACAACCCTCCTATCCAAGGGAACACAGCATGATGAAATAAGAGAAGATAATGAAGGAGAGAGATGTGAGGCATGGCCCAAAAATCAAAGTAACTAACTATCATGGTTCCACCAATCATTGGTCATGTTTTCTTTGAGATAGGTGCTGTTACTGGCCTTGGGCGATGTGGGCTCCTCATGAAGAGGGAGAGTGGAGCTGGATACCCAATCTTGAGGCAGGCACTGGACAGACAGCCACATCGATTCATCCAGACAGACCTTATTAATTCATCCATTTATTTATTTATCTGCACAGCTTGTTCAACTCCATGTCTACTGATGTGAGAGAGAAGAGCTAAGAGATGGGCAGCTAGGACTACTAAAGATCATGAGTAGTCGGAGCAGGAGAGATAGAGGTTGGAGAAAAACAACGGTGGAAAGTAACAAAGGAAAACAGAAAGTAAGAAACGAATGTAAGACAGAGTGCCATAGGAGAAAGCTGTGAATGTCCATTTCCTCATTGTGGTCGTTCTTCCCTCAGCCTTAAGTCTCCTCATCAGTCTCAGTGCCATGGTGGAGGTGACCCAGTGAATGTGATACTGTAGCTGAGTGTAAGACGGGGTAGTAGGGGGGCTCGTTATACCTGACACCCCCAGCCCAGCATAGAAGCAGGCAGCAGCAGCAGCAGCAGCAGGGGCAGCATGGGTGCTGTGTGGCCTGCCGCTCCTCTATGGCCCCCTCGGGTCCCGGAGCCCACACTAGACTTCTCCTTCTCAGAATACAGTGGGATAACGTTGAATTCCTGGCTTTCTTCCTCTACCTCCTCTTCCTCACTGTCCTCCACCTGAAAGACAGAGGGGATGTAATATAATAAATAATTCGGTATTAAAGTGAAAATCTCACTTTTAAAAGTTCATATTCTGTTAATTCATATCCAAATAATGCTTGTCCTATCCTCGTATTTCTGGCAAAAGCATAAATTGGAGAAAAACACGTCAAAAACCCCAACTCAAATATGTATCTCAAACTGACCGTTTAAAAAATGCTTGCTATTTCCTCATAGAACATGATGTCACCTCCCTGAGGAGGATGAGCTGGCCAATCAGCACTCTACTCGCATTAATATTTTTAATGACCGGTATACGCCCACAACATTCCAACACAGAAAAGCTTATTTCTATTTCATAGAAATCTGGAAACACTGGGCAGTTACTTTAAAATAGAGGGAGCAGAACTTGCAGGTAACTACCGCACATTGTGCATGCTGTATCTGCTTGGTAGAACTAAGTGTGATAGAAAATTGGATTAGAAAATCAAGTTTGGAAGAGACATTATTAGCAGTGAGCTTCCTAACAGACACAAAAAGCAACTCAGCGTTAAACCTTTTTTTTTTTTTTTACTTAGGTGTTGAATTCAGAATCCAAAGGTGTCAGCATATTTTTCATTAGAAATAATGGTGAGAGTCTTAGTCATGGTATTGGATCAACAGAGTGAGAAGTGTTACAGAGGATCATCTTGAACCTGCACTCAGATGGAGGGAGGCTTACAGCCTCTTCACACTTAATACACTAGTCGTAAAAATACTGTCAGCTACACACATTACTCAAATGTAAACTTGCATACTTGCTACGTCTCGACCGCTACCTCCAGAGGTAGTGCACGACACTCGCCCGACAGTTGCCCCCCTTGAAGCAGGGCAGTGTAAAAATTATTGTCTCATTGAGCCAACTCTCCTACAGTATAAATGGTAATAGCAGAGCAATGGTTTTGAAACAGCTGAAATGTATAGACATTTTCCTAATATTTGAGACTTGTTTTATTTAGTTTTTACCTGAAATTGCAGTAACAGCCTGTTACATCTCTGAAATTGTCGCAGTAGCTGCCGGCTGCACTGAGCCACATAAAACTATGAAGCCGATCCCCACCACCAAAAACATGTAAAATGTAGATCATACAAATAGGATGTGTTTTTTCATTTGTAACATTGTGTGGTGATTTCAGAGGTGGCACCACAGGTCCTAGAGTGGTGTGGGGGAAATTGTTTTCCTGGGACCTAAAGTTTTTCCTGATCTGTTAGTAGGCTAACCTAACCAACTCCGGACCCCAGTTGCATCGTATGACATAGTAATAAATCAGCTGTAAAAAAAAAAAGCTGTTTTATATGGGCTATGATATGGGCTATGATGGGACCAGATTACTTTTCTAATCAGGTCATATGTTGTTGTTTTTTACTACTGGAAAAACTCCCTAGTCCTAGGGAGGATGAAAACATTAAAACCCTTTACACAGACAAAGAGACAACAATTGCGATCTGACAAAAAAACGAACGGGTCTGAGCTGGCTGTATGCAGGGTTTCATCGTTAGGTCTTTGCATGTGTAATTAAAAAGACACTCATACAGTATGTCATCACTATTGTGTTGATTGATTAATTCAACCTAATAACTATGACACACCCCTCACTATTGTCATTGGTTGCACTACTTGCACTGTTTGTCTACATAACATGCTTCAAGCATTCATGATATTACCCTGAAGAAGGCACAGTGATGCTGAAACGTTGGTGTTTTACCCAATCAATTACTGGGAGTTGATATATATGGAGTGTGCGAGCGACTGTCTTTGTTTTTATAGCTTACGATTGATTAATTCCAGTCAATAATTGTGGATTAAAAAGGCCTAGGTCGCCTAGCCACCCGAAGTGTGAATGTAAACCACATTTGATCAAATTCACATTTTCTCAGAATACAAATAAATGGGCCTATTTTAGGCTACAAAAACATGACGTTACGTTTCCCCTGGCCAGGCCCAGATGGGAGAGCGCCTAGGCTTCTCCAGGCTACCTGCAGCTGTGGTTGTTATCAGTAGGCTACAGTTGATCAGACTGAATCACAGACTAATTGTGCACGTTGGCAAATCATGCAGCATTTTATTTTATTAATCTTTTTGGTGGCGGGCATGGGCTTCCATATAAAACAGCTCGTCGTGGTGAATTCACTTATACCTACGTTTTCAGTCGCAATTTGCTTTTCCCCACATGTAATGATTTACATGATATTAATAAAAATGAAGCCTGGTTTGTTGAAAGGTAGGCCTACTGTACTTTTTCTATTCGTGTGAGAGGGTTAATCATTCATTTTTGATAGGCTAACGTTACTTGATGAAGACTGTTATAGTAACTCTGTGCTTTTGTCTTGAAGCTCAAATGTAATGAGTGTAGCCTATAGATGAGAAACTAAAGCCTTTAATTGTCTGCACATACATGCTTGTGACTTGTTGCATTATTCAAGAGTGTAATATGGTTTGGTTGCATTATTCAATAGTGTAATATGTTTTAGAAAAGAAGTTTCTGTCATTGTTGAATAGTTTGTGCTTACTGGCTAGTGGCTACTGTGATATTTACGGTCAATTTGAGCTGCGGACCAAGAATGTTACCAGCCACAATGAAAGGTAAGACAATGACGTAATGTGAATTGAAAAGTAGAATTATCTTTCGCCAAACCCGCTCCTCAGACTCTCCTTCATATCTTGTAGTGGGAATAGAGACTTAGAGGTTAGTAGGAAAGAAGAGAGGGAGGGATTGGAACGGTGTAAATGAGTGCAGCGGAGGAGAGGAGAAAGGAAGTGAGGGGGATTAGGATGGCGAGAGAAAGGAGGATAGGAGACAGATGGGTGTGAATAAATGAATATCAACAACTCAAGAGGATTGATGCTCTCTCCTGCAAACACCTCTGGCTAATCCTTACACACAGTGAGAGAGAGAAGGAGTGAGAGGAAGATAGGGCCAGAGACATAGGGAGGAGAAAAGGTAAGGAGGAAATCCTGGGTCTCTGTTCAATGCCTCAGTGACGTGTTGCCTGTGACTGTGAGCCTTGTGTTGAGTCAGATGTGTTGGGAGTGTATCTCAGGTCAGGTCTGTGAGTGAGCTTTGACACTCAGGCAGCTCCATTGGTGCTCATGTCACACCGTGGGTCATCATGCAATTCACAGAGCATCCCTGACACAGTGAGAACCCACTTTAGAAAAACCCAAGGAACAAGCTTTTTGTCCACCATTGTTTTTAAGTTAGCGTACAGCCTTTATGCAGTCTGGGTTTGGTAAGGCAATGAAGAGTACTTACACTCACACTGTTGCGTTCTGATAAAATGTTGACGTTGACATTGATCTTGTCCTTGTCCTGAAAGATGCGTGGGGAGGGAGTGGCTGATGCGTGGCGACGGGGGGGCAGGGTCGTGCTCTCCACGAGGCGAGGGGAAGAGCCACCCAAATAATTGATAGCATTACCTGAGACAACAACAGACATCCTCATTATCGTTACCATCATCACATCATCATTACCATCCATCATCCATCATCACCATCCATCATCATTATCATCGTCACCATCATCACCACCGTCACCATCATTGTCACCATCATCATCACTATCATCCTCATCACCATCATCATCATCGTCACCATCCTCATCGTCATCATCATCGTCACCATCATCACCACAATCATCATCGTCACCATCATCAGCATTATCGTCACCATCATCATCGTCAACATCATCACCATCATTCCTCTATTTTACCCACTGCTGATGAAGCCATTAATTAATTAATCAACTGGGCATCATGCAATTCACAGAGCATCCCTGACACAGTGAGAACTTGAAGACGCCTAGGCTAGCTAGTAATAGCCAACTTATTTAGCCAATTAGCTTCAGGTGGCTGGTGTGCGACCGTGGCCGTGGCAAAGTTGGTTTAACATTGGATAGTCTATTTCTGGGGCTAGTTAGGGACTGTCAATGTAAATTAGACAATATTTTCATGTCGCAAATCCTTTAGCTGTCTCCTTAAATCCTTTAAATATTTGTGTAAGTGGTGTTACATAGATGCTATGTTCACGATTAATGATTAATACATAATTCATGGTTTATTTGATGTAGTAAATAAATAAATGATTTATTAATGTATAGGTAAGAATTTAAATGTGATGTAACAGGTAAAATTAACTTTAGGCCATTGTTTGTGTTTTTATGTTCCATCAAGGAACTAAGGTTCTCTGTTGTGTTACTGCTACGGAATTTGTTAATTGACTGTGTGCAATCTAACTTAAGCAGATCTTAGTCTGAGTTATAATTGTTGATGGCAGAGGCCAAGAAAGACAGTAAAGGGACTTTCATGGGACTTTAAGGATTCAAGAACCTCTTTTCAGGACAAGCAGCCAACGAGGTATTTTGTTCAACATGTAGAACTATGTTTATATTCGCGCCAAGTGCCATTTGTATTGTCGCGCCGAGCGCCATTTGTATTATTTTGTTTCAGTACTGTATACTTTATCAACGTTACTGTGTTCATTCAAATATATAGTTCTCACGGCGTGACGTGGATGCATCGGAGAAAAATACGTGCAAGGCAATAAACGCCCGTTTCAAGGAACCAACCTGTGTCTGTTGTCGTGAAGAGAGCTACAGTGAGAACTCGCCTGCTCAACACGGGTAGGAGAGACAACAAGACCGCCGCGGGTAACGTCGCAACGAAGATCCAGCAGATCAGATAAGCAAAGCCCATGACATTTTCGGCATAGCGACTGCAAGCAACGGTGATTGGACTGTGTTGAAAGCGCAACTTTTCAGGCCAAAAGCACTCTACCACAACATTCAAGTTAAGGTGGGATGAGAAGTGGTTCAACTTGGAAATTGCAACTAAGGACTCAGCTCTATGAATCTTACATACTGTGCTTAGCCTACATGTTTTGGGGATAAATCGAATGTGCTGGTGTTACTAGATTTAAAGGGAAACTTAACTCCATAAGCAAGTGAACAAGTTTTGAGTAAAGATAAAAGATAATCATAAATTGAAATTAAGATTAGTGTTTTATGAAAAGTGGTGTTAGCCAAGCTTAAAGGGCAATTTAAGCAAAGTTTAAATGGTACCTCCACTGATGTGAAATTATTTTATTATGTGAAGTGATACGTGATTTAATGCATTATACACATATTCATTCTGTGATTAAGGTTTATACTAAGTTTATTTGTACCAAAGTCATTTTCAATCTTATTTTGAAATTGAAGTCAACTTGAAGTCTAGCTAAGTTTAAATGCTGATAGTTATCTTGATGCAATATTGAAGTTTATATTTAGAAGTTAGGCTACCCACCTAGTCTTCACACAGTTAAGGAATTCATACAGTTATTAACCTTCCTGGCTAATCACATTTAGGCCTATTGTAGCTTACATTCACCCATAGCCTAATATAAATCCAATTCAAGCTCAATAGTTGAGACACATATACCACATCCATCTCAAAATGTCAGACACAAGCACTGAGACATGCCGTGTAATTACCAAATCACCTGCTCAACCCGACGCAACAGACACAGAGTCTGCAGAAAAAGTGGAAAGACTACGAAGAAGTGAAAGAACCCGATCCCTAACAGAGAAAGGAAGATAACTTCAAGTCTCCCGAGTGGCACAGTGGTCTAAGGCACTGCATCGCAGTGCTAGCTGTGCCACTAGAGATCCTGGTTTGAATCCAGGCTATGTCGTAGCTGGCCGCGACCGGGAGACCCATGGGGCGGCGCACAATTGGCCCAGCGTCGTCCAGGGTATGGGAGAGAATGGCCGGCAGGGATGTAGCTCAGTTGGTAGAGCATGGCGTTTGCAACGCCAGGGTTGTGGGTTCAATTCCCACGGGGGGCCAGTATAAAATAATAATAATAATGTATGTAAGTTGCTCTGGATAAGAGCGTCTGCTAAATGACCCAAAAAAATAAATAAAGATAGGCTGAAGAGTGTACAACGTCGGTACAGGATCATCCATGAGAAGTGGAAGTATCATGCAAGAATAGGCAAGGAAATATTGACTGATTCGGCCTCCGAGGACGAATTAAATGAGCTGATTGAGAACATGAAAAGCATCTGTTCTGGTGTACAGGTCATTTATGAAGAGTTACATAGAATGCAAACTCCTGAACCAAACCTGCGACGCAGAGTTGACACGTGCATTTCGCTTTCAGGATTTATCATTCAAAAGGCAGAAAGGCAACTTAAAGGGCATACAGCAGATGAGGAGGAAGAACCTTGGCCTGATGTTGGCTCCATCCTAGACTCAACAGGTTCTCTATCAAGGCCACCATCTCGTCGATCAAAATGTGGTTCTATCCACTCTAGCATCCACTCAGTCAAAAGAAATGAGGCTGCAGCTGAAGCTGCCGCATCCAAGGATATTTTGGCAGTGTTGGATGAACAAGAAAGGGAAGCGATAGAACTTCAAAGGCTAGAGGCTGAAGGAAAACAGCGGCTGACACAATTTGAATCTGAGAACCTAGCCAGACAACAGGCAATGCAAGACAAGCGTAGAAAGCTTGAACGTCTAGAGGAAGTGAAGAAGTTGAACGCTGCAAGCGCTCGAGTAAAGTTCTACGATCAAGTCGAAGACAATTTTGAGACAACTGACTTTCTGCATGATGTTGAACCAGCAGGAGAACTTCAAGTTCTTAACCTCACAGTTCCTCCAGACCGCCCTCAATCTCCACCAGTCACAACGCAAGCCCTCTATGGCTCAAGTCCCTCATTCATTCATTCATTCCTCAACCTATAAACCAGTTCCAAGTCAAGCTCCTAGTCCCCAAAGTCCACAATTGGTACCTCAAGCTCCACCAACTTCAGTGTCCATGCATCAAGTGCAGAGCAGCTCTGATCTGGTCAACATGCTAGCAGAAGCTATAAGTGCCAATCGTCTCCCAACACCAGAGCCTGCATTATTCACTGGAGATCCTTTGAAATTCAAAGACTGGCAGCTATCTTTCGAAACATTAATAGACAGGAAAAACATTCCAAAGAATGAAAAACTGTATTACCTAAGAAAGTACTTAGGTGGTTGAATGATTTTTCCTACTAGGCACTAAAGCAGCATATGACTCAGCCTGGCAGCTGTTGCAAAAACGTTTCGGAGACCCATTCATAATTGGGAAGTCCTTCAGAGACAAGCTGCATGGATGGCCAAAGATAAGCTCTAAGGATGGTTGTGAACTAAGAGACTTTGCAGACTTCCTCAAGAGCTGCGAGGCTGCAATGCCCCACATTAAGACATTGGAAGTTCTCAATGACTGCAATGAGAGTCAAAATATTCTGCTGAAGTTGCCAGATTGGCTGGTATCCAGTTGGAACCGCAAAACGATGGAAGTCAGACAAGCAAACGCTGGGTACCCACCATTCAAAGTGTTTGTAGACTTTCTATCGAAGGAAGCAGATCTCGCTTGCAATCCTATATCCTCAATACAAGCGCTCAAGAGTGTGGAAAGCGAGAAACCAAAGCATCCACGAAGTCAAACCATTCAAGCAAAGACACTGTCCACAAACACAACACAGAGCAACATCCCATCATGCATTTTTTTGCAAAAGAACAGGACATGTCCTCGTCAAGTGCAGAAAGTTCAGTGAACAGACGGTTCAAGATCGTGTCAAGTTTGTGCAAGCAGAAAAGCTTTGCTTTGGATGTTTGAAGACTGGTCATCACTCAAGAATGTGTGATAACAAGAGTACATGTGAAAGATGTCAGAAGAAACACCTGACATGTTTGCATGATGACAAGTTCAAGGAACATCAAAGGTCAACACTTCCAAAGGTAGACAACTACTCAAAGCACAGAGCAGACACCAAAGAAATAGCTGCAGCAGCAATTACCAACAGAGTCATACAAGAAGGCCTAAGCACACAAACGTCCTCAATCATACCAGTCTGGGTCTCGTCCACAAAACAGCCAGATCAAGAAGTTCTCGTCTATGCGCTCTTAGACACGCAAAGCGATACGACTTTCATCCTAGATGAAGTGGCCCAAGACCTCAACACAAACAAAGAGAATGTCCGTTTGTAGCTGTCCACAATGTCTACAAGGTCAACAGTCATACCCTGCCAGAAACTGACAAGTCTACAAGTGAGAGGGTACAACTTAGAGAAAAGTATCCCATTGTCACCACTTTTCACACGAGGATTCATTCCAGCAGACAGGTCGCACATTCCAACTGCTGAAACAGCTCTAAAATGGCCTCATCTGGAACAATTGGCAGACAAGATTCCACCACCACTGGATTGCGAAGTAGGCCTTCTGATCGGCTATAACTGTCAACAAGCCCTTCTGCCAAGGGAGATCCTGTCCGGTGAAGAAAATCATCCATATGCACAGCGAACTGATCTTGGCTGGAGCATTGTTG